AAGGAAGACAAATTAAAGAAACACAAGTAGTCACCATGGTAACAATGGATTCAAGAGACAATGAAGTAATACAGTAGAGCCCCACAGCTGACCACCTCCCTAGCCTGACCACCTCTTTAAGTTGACCTAATTTTCATAGACCAGACATGTGCCAAATGTACTCAGTGGAAGTTCATTATGTGGACCACCTCTCTATGCTGGCCAAGTTGACACAGTCCCTCGGGTGGTCAACTTACAGAGGTTGTGCTATATATTTGTGGTTTAAGAAAATTAACATGTCTTATTGTGAGGTATTGCATATAAATTCAAAATGCATAAAATGTAAATGTGAAGCATAAAGAGTAATTACCAAGGTAATCACCACATAGGTAAAAAATATTGCTGGCCACCTGGGAAAAGTATCTATAAAACATGTAGTGTAGGCTTAGCGCTCGTAGCACAGTGTAATATGGTAACATACACTGGGGGCTGGCGGGTTCAAACCGGGCCCCGGCCAGCCAACTAAAACAGCAATGACAACCGCAACAAAAATAGCCAGGCGTTGTGGCTGGCAATTGTAGTCCCAGCTACTTGGGAGGCTGAGGCAAGAGAAACACTTACGCCCAAGAGCTTGAGGATGCTGTGAGCTGTGACGCCATGGCACTCTACCAAGGACCACATAATAAGACTTGTCTCAAAAAAAAAATGTAGTATAATTGATTTTGAACTTTGTATAAGTAGATTTATGCTCTAATTTTTTTGTGCCTTTCTTCTTTTATATTACATTATGATTAGAAATTAATATATGTAGTTTAGCATAGTTGTACTTTGTTCATTTCCTTGCTATATAAAATTTATCATATTTTATTTTTCTATTCTGTCAGTGAAAAAATTGTTTGTTTTTTCTAGTTTTGGGCTATTATGAACAACACTGCAATAAACAGCACCTCTACTGTGAACAACACTGCTGTTTATGTGTTGCTCACATACATATATATTCTTACATATGTATCCCGAGACACGCTAGAGGTCTTCTGGGCTATAAACCTGGGAATGATACTGCTGTCTTAGGAGATGTATACATTTTGATTCTCTAGATAATGCCAAAGTGTTTTCCAAAGTGGTTTAAAACGCTTACTCTTTGAGGTCAGGAATAAAACAATGATGTCCACTATCACTTTTCTAATCCTCATTTTTATCATATTAAGGAATTGGTCTTCTATTCTTATTTATAGGTATTTGCAAAAATCTAAGAAATCTGGGCCTGTAATTTTAACGTGAGAAGATATTTTTTAAAAATGACTGTGGAACTATTCAGGCTTTCTATTCTTCAGTGTCAGTTTGATAGTTTTTTTTTTTCCCCTAAAAATTTGTCCACTTTAATCTACATTTAAAAATTTCATAGCACACATCTGGTTGTAATATCCTCTTACGTGAGCATAGTCTGAACTACTATACTTCGTTTTAATTCCAATATCGGTTAATTGTGTCTTCTTTCAATGTTTTTAGTGATCCTTTAGGGATTATTAAAAAAAACCCTAAATTTTTGGCTCTCCTGGCCTGCACAAATAGAAATGATTTGCCCATTTTAATCATTTCTGCTCTTGATTCTATTCTACCTTCTTTTTGCATTTCGTTTATTGTGTTTCCTTTCTAACTTTCTGACATGTGGATATTTACTTTGTTAATTTTTAACCTTTGTTCTTTTTTAATATTAATACTAAGGAGCTAGTAATTACCTCAGATGCATCCCATAGTCTGGGTAGTTAATATTTTTGCTATCATTACCCCAAACTATTTTCTAATTCCCACTTTGATGTCTTCTTTAGCCTGTGAATTATTTAGAAGTAAAATTATTAATTTCTCAGCATATGAGAATATCTATCTTCCTGTTACTGACTTCCTGTTTAATTGCTGGGTGGCCAAAGAACATGTTCTGTGTGACTTCAACCTGTTCAGCTTTGTTCACACTTGCTTTCTGACTCCAGGTATGCTCAATTTTGAAAGCGCATGTATTCTTATTCGCAGTGAAAGCAGCATTCTAGAATATAGATTTGTTAAGTCACGTTGTGTTGTGGTCAGGTCTTCTAAATCACCGGTGATATTTTATCTTCTTGTTCTACTATTGAAAAAGGCCCGTTGAAATTCCCACCACAGCTGCTAGTTTTCTGAAAGTTCTTATCATCACAAAGTGATATTTTGGATCTACCATTATACTTTTTGACCTAAATTCTATTTTGTGTAATATTAACACCATGTATATTTTATCTATACCAGCATTCTTTAGTTGGTATTTGCTTAGCATATCTCCTTCCATTTTTTATTTTAACTTTTATATTTCCTTAAACAAATTTCATGAAATATAAGCAGGATACTGTTTATAATCTAATCTGACATATCTCTATTTTTACTTTGGGGCACTTAGTCCATAATTACTATTTTATGGATATACATTTATTGTTATTTAAAAAGCTGCCCTTACTAAAAAAAAAAGTTGTCCTTACTGTCCAATGTTTTATTTTTTTCCTCCTTTATTCCATTAATTGGAATTATCTGAGTCTTTAAAAAAAATTCCATTTATCTTATTTTCTCTACTCATGTATAGCCTGTGCAAAGTCATGTATCCTGTTTCTGTTCTTGTAGTAGATATCCTAGAATGTATGCATGTAGTTTTATTGCATCAGTATCTAATGTTAATCAATACTTAACCCTTACACACACATCTTAGTGTTTTTGTTAAAGTACCAAAAAAAACCAACCAACCCTTAAAATGTCTCTCCAAATCATCTCTGTAGTTGAGGGGGAATGTTGAATTAGAGCATAATAGCAGGGGGATTTATTCTGCTATGACGGTGGTGCCTGTACACATTAAATTGTGACCAAATATCAGGCATCATTATTATTTTACTCTTATTCTGTATAATTCATTCTTGCATCTACTCTAATTGTCGTTGAACATATACAGTTTCTTTTTAATTTTGAACATGTCCATTATCAGTATGATGTAAGGGCTGAATCTGGAGGAGGAAAATACGAAATCTTACTTTCGAAACCTAACTAAAATTTAAAAAAAGTTTCAGGATATATAGAGTTTGTTCAATTGGCAATTTGAAATTTAGGAGTGGGTTAGGAATAGGTAGGAATTTTGTGATCAATAAAACAATTAGGAACTGCTACAACAGCCAGAATGAGGGTTTAATGGTGAATGTATTTGCCGTAATGTAGAACTCCGGAGGCTGATTTGCTTTGGCCCAGACTTACTGGGTGAAAGGTGGCTTCGCAGGCAATGGTTAGGGCACGGAGCTAGGTGTCTGTTTTGTATTCTAGAAGCAATAGGCTATACCATCTGGGTTTGTGTAAGCACATCCTATGATGTTAGCATACCACAATGGCCTAAGAATGCATTTTTCAGAAAGAATCCCTGTTGTTAGACTATGGAATCTCCACAGTATGTATTCAAGGGTAACTGAATAAATTCATACAAAATATACTTTCACCCACTTAAAAGTCATGTGAAAATACCTTGCCCCTAGATGCAAGATTCTTTTGGCCATGCACTTTTTTTGTTTAATTTTTTGAGATAGTTTCACTTTGTTGCCCTAGGTAGAGTGCAGGGTGTCATAGCTCACAGCAACCTCAAACTCTTGAGTTCCAGAGAGCCCCGTACCTCGGCCTCCCCAGTAGCTGGGACTAAGGCTACCGCGACAAACCGTCTATTCTTAGAGACGGGGGTCTCACTCTTGGCCAGGCTGGTTTCCAACTCCCTAGCTCAAGCAATCCTGGCCACACATTCTTGATTACAATTTAAACTGTTTTGAACAATGGCTGTATTTGTTGATTAAATTCACACACTAGCACACACACACAGAGGCACACCCAAGTTCACCTTGCGTAGAGCTTTTCCCTACGCCTGGTTTTCCCTTATAATTCAAGTCTCTGTTCAGTTATCGCTTCTAAAAGAGGATTCTAGAAACCACTACGTGTAAAACAGCATTTCTGCGTGCCTCGTTGGCTGTATTTTCTTTAGAGTTCTTATATACTGAAATAGCCCTTTTCCCCCTATATGAACTGAGGAAGGCAATGATAGTGTCAGGATATCCCCAACGCTTGGCACGTACTAGCATTCAATAAATATTTGTGGAATGGCTCTATGCCCGTAAGTACAGTGGGTACAGCATTGGCCACATACACCGGGGCTGGCGGGTTAGAACCCAGCCTGGGCCAGCTAAACAATGACAACTGCCGCCGAAAAATAGACGGGTGTTTTGGCGGGCGCCTGTAGTCCCAGCTACTTGGGAGGCTGAGGCAAGAGAATCGCTTAAGCCCAAGAGTTTGAGGTTGCTGTGAGCTGTGACGTCACAGCACCCTACAGAGGGTGACATAGAAAAAAATTGTTGAATGAGTATATTGTACATAGAATTTAAAAAAGTATAGGTGAAACAAACTCTATGAGCGAGAGTAGGAGAGAAAAGCTGGGTTGGACGGGCCCTTGAATAGGAGGAAGGGAGCTGTGCGGATTAAGAAACTAAGATCCAGTGGGGGAAAGGCCTGGTCTGAGTTAATAATCCAGGACTGGAAAGAGCAGAAGCCAGGACCATCTGCCGATTTAGGGCGCAGGCCAGCTCAGCGCAGCCCCACTGGGCCCCACTGGGCCGGGTCCAGCCCCTGAGTGGCGGGAGCCCCCAGAGGGTACCTCTGCTCTAAAGAGGCTGCTGTCCCTGGAGTCACGCACAGGGACTGATAGCCACGCTCTGCTCTGGGGACCAGAACGCCGCTGGCCGGAAAAGAGGGACATCGGCGATCCAGGTTGAAATCCCGAACCTCGTACTCACAGGCAGGCCACGTTCGACCTCCCGCTGCAAGCTCCCTCCCTCCCACCGCTCCCACGGTCACACCGCGAGCGCAGACCGTTCACCTAGAGCTTGAAATCCAACGCGGACGGAAAAGATAAGGCCTCAGTTTCCGGGGACGTTTTAACGCATTGCACCGGCCCCTCCCTTTCCGGTAGGGTCGGCGCCGGCCTGTGCGGCCCCACGTGCGTAGGGCGGGGATGCCGGCGGTAGCTGCTGTCGCCGCGGTAGGTGAGATTGCCCCAGTCTGGAGAGCGGAGGTCTCCCGCGGCCGCGACGACTTCATCATGGTGGGCCCCTCCTGCTTCCCTGTACCCTCTCAGTTGGTTCCTTGGAGGGATCTTGTCGGGCGGACAGGCAGGCAGGCAGGCGGGGAGTGGTCTCAGGAGCGGGGCCAGGGGAGGAGGCAAAGTGAAAATATTGTGGAGCCGGGGCGCGGGTGCGGGCGAATCCGACAGATCTAGGACCCTTGGAGTTCCTGTCCCTGTGCTGACGTACTCACTTGCCGCCCCGCCACTCTGTCTCCTGCCCACCTTCTCCTTAGGCATTAGCCCCTCATGGGTGGGGGTGGCGGGGGCAGCTCGCATCTTTGCTTTCTTCTCTTGGACAAAACTGAGAGCGCTGGGCCCGCACACCTGTTCCACCCGTGAGGTCAGACTGGGCCCGGTCACTTCTTCCCTGGCGTCCGGTCATCGCCAGTTAGTGACCTGTTGCTGCCCCAAATCTTGTCTCTACGATCCTCTCACCCTCATTCCCGCTAGTGCCCAGACGCTGTTTTATTTTTATTAAAAATTGATACAAAAGTCTTCATAAACATTTACTTGTAAAGATAGGCTGTATAAGGAACTCCCCTTTACCCGTTAATGTAGTTTAAGAAGTAAAATACAACTTTTGAAAGCCTGTGTTCTGTCCGAACCTGTATCCTTGGGGAACCCCTCAGAGGTAACAGTATCTAAGTTTAATGTTTATAGTTACATTATTTTTCTTTATAGTTAACTACATATGTTTATATTCCAAAACAATATGTTGTTTCTTAAACAGGTTTTTTACATTGTTGTGTGATCTATGAGGAACTTAAAAGTTGGAGTGATGCACCTAGTTTTTTAAAGAGATGTTCATTATGTTTTTTAGTTGTTCTTTGGTATCTGTTTTAAAGAGATGTTCATGTTTTTCATCTATTTTAAAGAGATGTTCATATGTTTTTTACTTGTTCTTTGGTATCTGTTTCATAAGTTCTTTAGTTCTTTGGTATTGGTGTTGGTTTCCGAACCCCCTTGAATGCTTAAGTCCGCGGATATGGATGCTGGGGAATTCCCTTATATAAAGTGGAGTGGTTTTTGCATAAAACCCACAGACAACCTCCTGTATATTTTAAGTCATCTCTAGATTACTTACAATACCTAATACAACGTAAATGCTGTGTAAATAGTTGTTACCCATTATATATTCTTTTGAATTTGTATTGCTTTTATTGTGGCATTGTTATTTTTATTTGCCAAATGTTTTCTATCTGCAGTTGGTTGAATTTGGATGCAAAACCTACACATACAAAAGAGTGCTGGAAATAATATCAGTCTAAAACTGAAACACACAGCAAATGTTACAAAAAAATAAGTAACTAGTTCAGCTACACTTAAAATAAGTTAACTAGTTCAGCTAAACTTAGTAAACTAAAGGATGAATTATTATCAAGTGCTACTTTTTGTTTTGTTTTGTAACATAATATGCACTTTTTAAAATTTATTTTTATGGTTACATTTATTTTATGTTCAGCATTCTGAAGCCTAGGCTTGATTAGTAATAATTATTTTCTAAATCACTACTAAGTCTAATCCAAAAGTATATTTGGAATTACAGTAACTGACTTACAAATGAAATATCCTAGTTTAAATACCTAAGAAATTTGGAATTTATTTATCTAATATTTATATCTTAATACAGTTTTTTAAAGCTGTGTATGTGTCGGGGTGGTCATGGTAAATTGCCTCAAACAAGACTGCCTTTTTTTCTTGTTGTTTAATTATCATTGAAAAACGTCTCTTACAGGGACTGGGGCAGAGTTATTTTTCATCTACATGTTTGTTTGTTTATTCATTTCTTTATTTTTGAAACAGAGTCTTACTTTGTCTCCCTGAGTAGAGTGCCCTGGCGCCATAGTTCACAATAACCTCAAACTCATGGGCTCAAGTGATCCTCTTGTCTCCACTTCCCAAGTAGCTGAGACTACAGTTGCCTGCCACAACACCCAGCTATTTTTAGAGCCTGGGGTCTTACTCTTTCTCAGGCTGGTCTTGAACTCCTGACCTCAAGCCATCCATAGGCTTTGGCCTCCCAGTGTGCTCATCTAAATGCTTAGATCTCCTACTACACTGCTCCTTTTCAGTGCCAGCCCAAAAAGAAAATCTCTTTCCCTTTGGAGAAATTAACATAAATGGAAATACAGTAAACTTGTCAAACTGATTTGAGCTAAATTTTTTTTTTACTTATTACAAAAGACCCAGAACAAAGAGGGATAAAGATGAACGTGTGTTAGAATTCCAGTGGCTGGATGCCACTACCATGTTACAGTAGGGACAGAAGGGCAGGTACTTTTGATCTTGAGTTTGAAAAAATTGTGAGCTGTTTGGTGTGTGAAACAGATCATTTTTCAAAGTTCCTTTGTCCCAAAGTTAAAGGAAGTAAGCATTTAGATTTTTATCTTAGAATTTTTGCACAAAATTTGTTCAGGCAGTTCACCTTTATTTCTCTATTGCGTCCCATCTGAATATCCTTGATAGACTAGACTATACTTCTCTTTAACTATCTCTGGAGAGAGGCAGTCCTTTGCATCTTTCATTGATTGTATCTTTATTTCATTAAGATTTCAAATATGATATTCTAGTCTTTGATACATAGTAGAAGTAATTAAGTAATATGTTACTTAATAACATTAATTTTTATCTTAATGTTCCACGTAGATCTAAATAGTGTTGCATGTGAAGTGAGTTTGCACTACTAGACTTTTACTAGACTTATTGTCTATTTTAAAGACAATGCAATCTTTTCATAATTTATAAAAACAATTGCAATTCCAAATATCGTACTCTAACCTCTTACCTTTAAACTCTTCTTTCAGACTTTGGTTGGAACAGTCTGACTGAAGTTAAACAGAATTAAAACCTGTGTTTTTCCTGCATCTTATTTTAATGTTTTTCTTTTAATTGTCTATTTAAAGCACTGACTGTTTCTTCCCATTTTATAATTAAAAACTAATGGTATGGAAGATAATTGTTGTTCAGTTCAAATGGATTTTCAGTTTTCACTGTCATGTTGCAAAGAATATTTGATTAATGACATCCAAAGATATGCTACAGTAATGCAGGTACTTTTTGATGTTCGATCAGAGTCAATATTGAACTATATTATTTCATACTAGTTTTCTCACTTTAAGGACAGGGAGGATATTTGATTTGATTCCTAGATTTAAATGTTAATTTCCATATTAATTAGGTAGTAGGTTTATTTAGTAGCTTGAAAATTGAGAAATATTTGGGAAACTCCTTGTTTCTTAGATCTCAGATTACTTCCTCAGGGAGGCCTTTCCTGATTTTTCAAAGTTAGTCAGGAACATAACCTTTCTGGCCAGCACTTATTAAATTAGTTAATCATGTGATAACTAGATTATAAGCTCCATGAAGGCAAGTTTATGTCTGGTTTTGATCCTGGCATCTCAGGCTTATCCTACTACAATGTGTATATGGTGTATGCTCAGTAAGTTTTGTTTTTTTTTTTAATAATCTTAACTGTAACACACATTTTTAGCTATGAGTCTCATCTTTGCTTTGAAGATGGAATAGTTGAAGAGCTGAGTTTTATGATCCCTTCTGTGCCTTTCTTTATTCTCTAATGTTATGGGAGAGTAGTTCCAAATATCTCTGTATGACTATGAAAGCAAAGACTATTAAAATTGTTTAATAAATGCGTGGGTTTGTATTTCTGATAGGCCTATACGTGTGGGCCTGTCACAGAGCCCCATGCCAGAGCAAACTGGCCCCAAACCATTGCCTCGCCTCTACCTATAGGCTGCTGGCACTGAAGTGGGTCGTACAGTGAAAAAAAGAAAGAAAAAAAATTGTTTAATAAGTCTTGTTCCTCTCCTGACTTCTTGTCTAATATTTCTGGCTCGTTGCATTTCTCTTACATTAATTTTTTTTTAATTTATTTTTAAAGAAATTTGTTTGACTGGAGTCACTTATATATCCTACTCTCATTATGTTTTTGTATATTTTAGCCTAAAGTGCTAAAGGGAAAAAGTGCAGGACGGGAAAAAAAAATCATCCATCCATATAGTAGAAAAGCCGCTCAAATTACAAGAGAGGCCCACAAACAAGAGAAAAGGGAAAAGTAAGTATCTTTTCGTCTTTTATATTATGCATCTATCAGATTGGTAAAATGCCCTTAATTCATTTATCCTTCAGACGTAAATCTTCCCTTAATATACACCTGCTTTCTTCCTTTAGTAAATGTTTGAGTGTTATATGTGCTGAAGCTAAAACCAACTCTATACTTACAGAGCTTACCTAAAACAGATAAATAAATTAAAAGAGCAATGTGTGATGAATGTAATGAGGAAAATTAAAAAGCGCTGGAGGATTGAGAGCCAGAGAGATTTGTTTTGTATAGGCTGGTCATGGAAGGCTCTTCTGTCATTTGGGCAGTTGAAAGATGTGAGGGAGTGATTGATTATGCAGTGGGCATAGAGATTAAAGTGCCTAGTAGACGTATAAGGGGACATGTGGAATGGATATGTTTGGTAGTCAGAATAGGTTAGGGATGTAGACAGAAATGTGAGAGCCATCAGTACCCACATGGGGATTCAAGCTGGAAGACTGGATAGAATATCCTAATAGTTACCTCTAAATAGAGAAGAGAAGGAAGCCACGGCCTGAGATGAGAGGCCCTCTGCTGTTTAGGGGTTGGGAAAGGAGGATTCCCACAGGGGAGACTGAGAAGGAGAAAAAAGAAGATGGTGTTTCAGAGATTTCCTTGAAATCAAGTGAAGACCAAATAAAAATCATCATTTTGATTATTTTAGAATAGTTCCACTGTTTTAATTAGTAAGTGCATTTACATACTAGCTGATGGAAACCAACACTTTTATTATGTGATGATCCCTTGCCTAAGACAAAAGCCATATTTAGTAAAGCTTAGCTGTTTCACCAGATTACATAGCCCCCAAAGCCTGAAGTGTTATTATGTGACCATTTAAGAAAGTATTTGCCATCTCTTATTATTTTGAATAAAACTCCCGTGAACATTCATGTACAGGAGATTATGTGCACAAATGTTTTTATTTTTCTTTTGGTTCTTAGAACTGGAATTGGTAGGTCAAATGATAGATGTTTGTTTGGATTTATAAGAAATCAAGTTTAAAGAATTGCTCGGTCATATGGTTATGGTTATGTATATAAAAATTACTTTTTTCAAAGTGGTAGTAGCCTTTTATATTTTCACCAGAGTATTTGATTGGCTGCATATCCTCTCGAGCATGTACTTCCAGGTTTGTTTTCTTTTCTTTTTAACTTTAAGCCATCTAGTAGGTATGTAGTGGTATCTTAGGGTGGTTTAAGTTTTCATTTCTTGATGACTACAATGTAGAGCGTCTTCTTTGATGAAGAATCTGTTCAAATCTTTTTCGCTTTTTTGGTACTGAATTTTTTGTCTATTAGGTAGTAAGAACTGTTTGTTTATTCTGGTAATAAGTTCTTTGTTAGTTTTTTGTATTTTTTTATTATGAATACTTTTTCCCATTCTGTGGCTAAGATTTTTGTAAAAATAAAGGCTTTATTTTATTTCTCCAGTTTTTTAGTTGAGTAAAATGGGAGGTTTTTTTCTTATTACTCCATTACGCCATCTGTACTTGCCCTTTATACAAAGCCTTCTCCTTTAGCTAAGATTTTTCTTTTCCCATTCTCGTGTTCCCCATCCTCTTAATTCTGTTTTTTTAGAACTCTGAATAACATCTCCGAATGTTCAGGTCTCAGCATGAAAGTCACATGTCCTGGAAAACTTTCCCAAATCCTAAGAAGTTCTGTAGGTACTTTTTAAATGTGCTTTTGTGGCTTTGTATCATCTCCATGTTTTCATTGTCTTCCACATTTAAAGCTTTGTCAGGTACAGAGACAGTGGCTTACTTTGTTCATTGCCATATCCCTAGAGGCTGGTGTAAAGTCTGGCAAAGACTTGGTGTCCAAAAAACTTTTGAATGAATGAATAATTATTTAGACTGTCAGTAAGGCATTTATTACCTATAGTCTTTCTGACCACAGATGAGTTTTTACTCTTATTTTTAAATTTATGAAAAGCAATCATGCTATATTCTTAAAAAAATTTAAAAGACAAGCAGTAATGCATTTTACTCTTGCAGTCTTCTAGAAGGTGGGTATTACTCTTGTGCATAAATATTCAGCATATCATAAAACCACCCCAACAATTGTAATTTGGTCAAGCTTTCAGTTTTGTTTTTGAAAGTAGCTTGTTCTATAAGTTTTCTTTAATTATTGAAGAGGCAAAAAAAGTTTCTTACAACATTTTGTTCTGATCATTTATAGGTGAACCATGGAGTTCAATGATGATCCTGAGATTAAAGTTTTGGGGGGCAGTTCTTGTTGTTTTTGACAGATTTTTAATGCTTGCTTTAGAGATTTTCTGATGTGTGTATATATATATATATCTTTTCTTTCAAGATTGAAGAATGAAAAGGCCTTGCGTCTTAACCTTATTGGTAAGTGGGTTTACTTACTGAAATTCTGGCTAAAGTGTATGAATTTATGCCCTCTATCTATTTTTATTTTTATCTTTCTAATGAAGTACTGTGACTTTCTTGCCAAACTAAATTAAAATGAAACTGGAATAAACAATGTTAGTGATTTCTAGCTCGATTTTCCAGAAATTGTTTGCTTTATACCTACCTGCCCATCTACACACATGCGTCCAGTATTTATCTATCTGTCTATAAAGTTTAATTCTAACTCCCTGTCTGTGAGCATTAGGGAAAATTATAGCTTCAGTATTGTGGAGACAATTCATACTTAATGATATGGATACCTGTAATTTTAACTTTTATCTCAGCATTGAAATCTCTCAGGTTCAAATTTATTGTTAAGTTTTTACTGATGAGTTTTTTTTTTTTTTAATTGAGACAGAGTCTCACTTTGTTGCCCTCAGTAGAGTGCTATGACACCACAGCTCACAGCAACCTCCAGCTCTTGGGCTTAAGTGATTCTTTTGCCTCAGCCTCCTGAGTAGCTGGGACTACAGGCAACTACCACAATGCCCAGTTATTTTTTTGTTTTTAGCAGGCTGGGGCTGGGTTCGAACCCACCAGCCCTAGTGCATGTGGCCAGCGCCCTACCCACTGAGCTGTGGGCACCACCCTACTGACAAGTTGTAAGATTTTAAAATACCATTAGGCTTTATTGTTCAAATTAATTTGAACCCTCATTTCTAATGCTTCATCAGGTAATAGGAAAGTATTTTAAATGAGGTTATCAGTATTCTGAGAATGGCTATTTTTTATCTATAATATTGAGATATTTAACTGAAAGTGACCCTGGTGGTCAGATTTACTTGTAAGAGTAGCCTGTGTTGGCTCTTGGATAGTATGTGTCAGTCACTCTTTTCACACTATCTAGCAGCTCTGTGTGTGTAAATACTTACCAACTTTGGGGCCCTGCACAGTTTACTTAGCTTCTTTCATCTGTAAAGGGGAATATAATAGTGCACATTTTCATAGGAGCATAAAGCTGTTTTTGTAGTGTTTGTGGCTTTTTAAATGTTCAACACATATAATTTTTCATCATTTATATTTTATTATTTTAGATAAATTATGTCCTTTGCTTTTTAAATACTTAGAACTTCATGTTCTATTATAGTATTCTTTTTTCTTTTTTTTTTTGTTAATCTATATTGGCTGAGAAGTTTTTACAAAAGAACATCTCTCCCAATTCTGTCTCATTTCTAAATTAAAATGTGATAGTTTAATTTCTGATAGACTGTTTAATTAGCTTTGAGCCCACGTAAGATTTTATATTTAACATTGAAATAAATTTTGGTTCTGTTTTAAACACATCAGTGTTGAGATTGTAATAAACACCTCTCTGCTCAACTGATGGCTTATGTTGCTAAACTATTTTGATACTTCTTATTCATAGGTGAAAAACTTCAGTGGTTTCAAAATCATCTTGATCCCCAAAAAGTGAGATATTCAAAGAAAGATGCTTGTGAATTAATTGAAAGGTAAACCCTGGGTGAAATTATGAACAGTCAGAAAAGGTAATTCTCCAACCTGATTCTTTAAGAGATTTGCAGAGGAGCAAATGGGCTCAGTTATCAGAAAGACTTTAGACTTATATGCTGGCAGAGCCACTTCAGTAGGTTTGAGCCTCAGAGTATTAACCCAGTTTCTTTGGATCAGGAAAGACTTCCTAGAGAAATAGCCAAACTTTGGATATTGGCACATGAAGGATGAGGATTAGCAGATCCAGGTAAGATCATTTGAAATGTATCTAGTCAGAGGAATATTTAAAAGTCCCTAACAGGAGAGCAAAGAAAACATACCTAATAATGTGCCAGACATTTAGTGTGACCGAAATAACAAGTTCAGGAAAGAAAGTATAGCAGGTTCAGTAAGCGACAGCCAGCACCTAAAAGACTTCAGCTATCAATCTCGGAGTTTGGACCTTATCTAAGGAGGTTAGGAACCACAGGACGCTTTTATAGCAAGCTCCTGAGATGATGATATTTACACTTTAGAAAGGTCACAGTTGTGAGAATGAGGAAAATGTTCTGAGGGAGACATGGCTCTAGCCAGGAGACCACTGAGAGGCTGATGCTGAAATCTAGGCAGGAGGTGATGGTGGCCTCTGCTGGGTTAGGTGTAGGGTGGTGAAGAGAGAGGAACAGTTCCAGAGATACTGAGAAGGCAGAGGTCTCTGTCTAGTGCAAGTTTAGGTGGGGAGTGAAGGAGGGAGAGGAGGCCAGGAGTGTGCCTAATTTCTCACTTGGGCAACTGGATGACTGGTCCTATTTCCTGAGATGGGGAGCCTAAGGGATAGAGTAATTTGATGGGGGAGGTTGGGGACAGGGTGGTGACAGTTTTGGTTTTGGTGGGCTGAGGATGAAGCTGCTAAATGTCTAAATGGAGATAGATGTTCAGTAAGTGGCTGGACATGAGGGTTTGTGGTTCAGCAGACCCTTGGTAGCAGGCTGTGATTTAGCTGGTGAAATTGAGGAAGTGGAACAGTTATACAGAGAAGGGTGCAGAATTTTGAGAACCCAAAACATAAACATTAAAGAACAGGTGAAGACTGGGGATTAGATTTCCATGAATTTATCTAAGCCAAATAGCTGAGACTTTGCAACTCATCGTTTTCTTATTTTTCAGGTATTTAAATCGATTCAGCAATGAGCTGGAGCAGATCGAGTTACATAACAGCATCAGAGACAGGCAGGGAAGGCGGCACTACTCCCGGGAGACAGTCATCAAGCAGACGATGGAGCGTGAGCGGCAGCAGTATGAAGGTTATGGCCTTGGTGTGTTCTCCGTGATTTTTTTTTTTCTTTTAAAAATACATAGTATCAGATTTGTAATTCATTTCAAAGGTTTTATTTTATTTGTTCTATTAATTTAGCTTGATTTCTAACTTTGATTTCTTTTTCTGAGTGTTTAGAGTACTTTTGGATTCATTTTTTTCCCTGTGCATTCCCAACAAAGCTATCGTTGTGACAATGATGTTGTACCTTTCTATGGTGACAGTAATTGTCACCCTACTACCACCTTTGTAGTTTAGGCCACCATCTTCTCAGTTGTGCCTTTATAATAGCCTCTCAGTTGGTCTGTGCCTTGAGTCTTCCCCCTTCACTTCACTTCAACATGTAGTAGCCACATGTAGTTCAACATGTACTGCCACATTAACTGGCAGTAATTAACAGAGCACGTCCATGCAAGCATTTGCTGATGGAGCCAGTACTGGTGCCCAGATCCACTGTTCTTACAAGTCTGCCCAGAATCAAGGTGTCTCATGAATGGACTCCAACTAGTTTACAGGTATCTGGGATTCTGTGAGGAGGTTGTCACCAAATTTTGTTTTGATAAACTGAGAAGACGGACATGACCACCTACCTATCTTCTATTTCCTGGTGGTATAACTATTTTTCACTCCATTTATCAAAATTCTTTTTAAAAAACTTTTGTATTTAATTTACATGTTTTAATACCTAGCCCTTTACAATTTTATTTTCTGAAACTATTATAAAAGTCAGTAGGCAGTGTATCAGATATGTTTGTTTATCTTCATTACTTGACACTAAATATTGTCTTGCATTGGTTAGACTCTTTGCCAGTTTCAGTTATTGTACGTGCCTCTTATGTTTCACCAATTTAAGTGTGATCATGTGTATTAGTTTATGATGAACTTTCTAATCATGGTAAGGAACTGCCATACACGGTGTTTATTAAAAATGGGTTTAAATTGTATTGAACTTTATTGAGTACAGATTGATTGTAGTATTTAAATTTTTTTCACATTTTGAATAATGTGCTTTTTTAACATTAAATAATCCATGCATTCCTCAGATAATTCTACTTGCCAAGGTAAAGTATGTGTTTGAAAAAATTGTTATTTTTTACCAAGAAAATATAATAACACAATCTGGCATGTTATTTGAGGAGCTTAATAGTTAGATTTTGCTGGTTCCTTTTTTTTTGAAACAGAGTTTCAGTGTATGGCCCTAGTAGAGTGTTGTGGCGTCCCAGTTCATAGCAACCTCAGCCTTTTGGGCTTAAGCATTCTCATGCCTCAGCCTCCCGAGTAGCTGGGACTGTAGCGCGCGCCACAATGCCCGGCTATTTTTTTTTTTGTAGTTGTCATTGCTGTTTGGCAGGCCCAGGCCGGGTTCGAACCTACCAGCCCCAGTGTATATGACCAGTGCTCTAGCTGCTGAGCGACAGGTGTTGAGCCTGCTGGTTACTTTTTACAATTAAAAAGGACAGCATTTATTTTATAATAAATTTTATTTCATAGATTCTATGTTAGAATTTATTAACCTTTTTCTTAAATCTTCTTAAACTAAGCCCTTTATGAGCTTGCCAAACTAATACGAAATGCTTTAAAATTCTGTTTTCTTTTGGCTATTCTTGCTGTCAGTTATTATTATATCTGAAATAATAAATGAAGAAACTATAAAATTATTAGAACATTGCCTAATGGATACAAATTATTTTCTTTTCCAGAAATTCCAGACATTCTGGATGCGAGTAATCTGAGAACTTTGAGGTGAGGTTGTCTCTTTTGTTGTTTCCTTGTAGCCCTGTGTAAAATACCTGAGACATGAACCGTCTTCTCTTTTGAGTCCAGACATCAGAAAACTACAGGAAAATCAGAGGTTTCTTCTTCTAATCTTTTCTCTTGTATCAGACCTGAATTTTCTGAAGTTTGTCTGTTCAGCACACCTAATAAGGACTTGAAATGCTAATGACATGGTATACTTCTGTTTTTCAGAATAGTCAAAGTACTTTAGTATAATATTCTAGAGAACTTGATCTCACTTTTCTTCCCTAGTTCTTTTTTTTTTTTTTAAAGACAGAGCCTCACTTTGTCACCCTTGGTAGAGTGCTGTGGCATCATAGCTCACAGCAACCTCGAACTCCTGGGCTCAAGTGATCCTCTTGCCTCAGTTTTTTCTATTTTTAGTAGAGAAGGGGTCTTGCTGTTGCTCAGGTAAGCAATCCACCCACCTTGGCCTCCCAGAGTGTTGGGATTACAGGCATAAGCCACCGCACCAGGCGCCTAGTTCTTATTTTTGTTAACAGTAATAGACTTGCCAGCTCAGAGGGGTATCCTCAGACTACTGTGGAGCACCCTCTTTTGGAAAGAATATTGTTAATGGGAAGCGGTATCAGGGAAAGGAACGGTGTGGTCCAGGGGTCTTGCTAATTGTACTGTGGTATCTGACCAGGGAGACCACTGAGTAGGACTTCAGTTTTTTAGTTTTCAAACACAAGTTCTGTTTTATTAATTGTTTTGGTCTTAACTAGACCGCATTGGTGGGTCTGAAATTTAAGTTAATTGAGATTAGATAAAGTTAATCCAGTCATCTTCTATACTTCTGATTTCATAGAAACTAAATTAGCTCTAATAGAATTCATCTGCCATATTTACGATGCAGTTTATTAGCACATGTTTAGCATGTACTTGTAATTTAAGTACGTGGAGTTTAAGATTCTTTTTGTACCCTAAATAAAGTATTGCTTCTAGAGTTCTTAATTGTCATAGAAAATACAGAACTCGAAAAACTGAAAATTTTCCCTTATAAGAATAAAAGTTGCTTGATTACTGAAATGTAATTGTGATGTGCCACTGTGTGTGCAGAGGATGAGCTTTTGTATATTTTGGAGATTTGCTGGGTATAACATAGTTTTGGCTTTAGAGATTCTTGATCCATATAGCCAATGAGGGGAGATGCTCAATTAGGGAAGGTAAAAGAGTCTAACAGAGCTTCCTTTCCTAGGATTTTCCTGTTTTGCTTTTGCGGTTTTTAATTTGTGAGATTTTGCTACTGAAGCTTAATGAGAAAATGTAATAAGTTTGGAAAAAGAAGCCTCAGTCCTTGTGATGTTGGTTTTTCCCCTGGGGAACTTACATTTCTAGTGTGTTTGAATCTGCTATAAACTTGTAACTTTCTTCCACTTTCACATTTTTAAAAATTAACTCTCTTTTGCTTTCGTGCCTCAAATCCTACCAATACTCTATACTCTTTCCTTTTTCCAGGGAATGGAATTTTGATCTAAAGAAACTGCCAAACATTAAAATGAGAAAAATTTGTGCTAATGATGCACTTCCCAAGAAGTGTAAGAGAAAAACTATTATAACTGCAGGCGAAGATTTGGGGGATCTGGAAATAAAAGATGAATCAAGCGACTCTGATGAGGAAATGACTGCAGTGGACTAATTGCCTTGACTTGAATTGAAAATAGATAATTTGAGACTTTCAACTTACACTCATTGATTATTTATTATACATGCTTGTCCAGATACAAGAGTTTGCTGTTTAACTCATTCTCTTACTTGATGAGAGTCCCATTTGCTGTTTCAAAAATGGTGTTAGGATTTTTATTTAAAAATGAAGTTGTTGGGGCCGCGCCTGTGGCTCAAAGGAGTAGGGCGTTGGCCCCAAATGCCGGAGGTGGCAGGTTCAAACCCAGCCCTGGCCAAAAACTGCAAAAAAAAAAAAAAAAAAAAAAAGAAGATTGCTTTTCATTTATATTAAATTGCTAACTTATAAGTGATTTCCAAAAACTATTTAATTTGAATTTTGGGAGGGGGGAGCACTATGAGGACAAAAAATGTTTTAATTTTTTCCCTCATGTGCATTTAGGATTATGTAATCTGACATTTGGGGAAATGGACAGTAACCTGTTATCTGAAAGTTTCCTGTGGATCCTTCTTGAGCAATGATGATAACAAAATAGTCTTTCAGTAATTATGTCACAGTGATTCTCCTCTTAAACATTAAGCCTATTTTCTTTTATTATAAAATAAAGGAAATTATATACTTTGGAATTTGTATACACTGATGGATTGTACACTATTACTTTCTGAGCCAGAGTTAAATGGTAAGAAAGTGAACAGTGATATTGTTATATTGATCTCTTTCACTTAATCTCTTACATTTTGACAAAGGGATAAATAATTTCGGGTTAACTCCTTTTGATTGTATATTATTTTCTGCTTTCTTACTGTGCAAAGTGATGTGTTTTATTTGTGAAGATAGAACTAAAGATTAGAGAATCAGTGTTTTTAATTGTGTTATATTTTTCTTCCAAGAGATAGATTGACATTTACCGCAATATTTTGAGTATCATGAAAAATATAGACATTGTAGAATTGTGTTCTTTGCAGAACTTGTTAAATGCAAGTATCCTTTAGTCTCCTTTTTAAAGGACACAATGCAAGTCAGTTTTGAGAATTTTCAAGAAAACAGTAATGTTGTATGAGATTTACCAGATATAATTACATCTTGTTAACAGCTTACTTAAAATGTACTATTTTATTTTTGAAAATTAAAAATAAAATTTATTTCCATAATTTTACTTCTTAGAGTTCTAGTCATTTCATTTCAGTGATTTGCCTAATGCTGATCGGCTTTAGTGATCTGTGTACAATATGGTTTGTGATGATGTGATAAGTTAGGATCTCTTTAGGCACTGGGGAGTTTCTTTCTTTCTTGTTCATGGTTAGCCTTAAAATGGCTGTAAAAACTGAGTCACAAGTAATAGTAAAGAGAATAAGAACTGGTTTTTCTGGACTGATACTTAAAAGCCTGTACTGTAACAGGTATAACTTGTGAAAATGACTGATTGTCCTTCCCCGCTGACATTTATTCCTAGATTCCCCTGTGCTGTCAAAGCAAAAAGTATAACAAGCCACACTGTTGGGAACCAGAACAGATAAATACTTGCTGAATGAATGGATTTATTTTATTCTTTAGTGCCATAATAATCAAAGTCATGTTACTCCTAGGTAGACCAAAGTAGCTGAAGAGAGAACTTGGCTATGGAGCAGATGTTTTATAATTATACCCTTAATCTTCATCTGGGCTCCCCTCTTCTAGCCCACTTTTTAATGAGTAGCATATTTTTGTAAGATAGTTTCTGTAGTCCATGACTGTGGAACAAAGTAAGGGAAAGTTAGGGTTTTGGTACTTCTGTTAAACTACAGTCACTGCATTAAGTGTTGCAGGCCAAACGTAGTTTCTGGTGCATTTGTGTGTGTGTGTGTGGGGGGGGGGCGGCTGTGTTTTAAAAATGTAAAAACCATTCTTAGTCCACAGCTATACAAAGTAGTCCACAGGGGGCAGGATTGACTTGCTGACCCCTGGTATAAACCAGTAGACATTGGTTAATGACACATTGCTAAGTAACTGATGTCTGGTCTTTCTTACTAATTTTCTGGTTGCTTCCTTGCCTTTCTGACAGGTATCCCTCAAGTAGAAGCCTTTTCTGCTTTTGCATCCCATGTGCTTCAGGGACAGGTGCATAGATGTCCCATTTCTATTGCTGCTTCAGAATAATTTCTCCCTTAGGCCTTGAAGTTCTATCTTTATCTCCTTTTCCTTATTAGCTTACCTCTCACAGGAACATTCTGCCCGTTCATTGAATACTTTAGCTGGTGGTTTAGTTTTCTCTGTAGCAGTCACTCTAGTGATTTCTGTGTGGATAACAATGACGTGCGAATTTCCCAGCCTCTGTCTCCTTCCCATCACAGGCCTCCCAGTGGTCACCTGGATCCTTAGCAGCAGAAACTTTCTGTAGATTTGATTTTGAGAATTCCACCCTCCATTCACGACCTGCTGTCCATCTCCTTTGCTGAGGTTTTAGACTTTGACTTTACTTGTTATACATCATCATCTGTCTCCCGTCCTCACGTTGTGTCTTGTTCAGCTCGGCTTGGACTCACAGCTGCTTGCTTGCGCACGTCCCCACTTTGCCGCAGCCGTAGTCGTTGCCTGCTTCCTTCACGCCCTTTCCCAAGCAGCTCCGCGTAGCTGACAGCACACAGAGGGTTTCTGTCCGTGTTAGCAGCTCTGAAGTGCAGTCCCAGTACCGTTCAGCAGTCTTACTCTGCTTTCAGATAATCGTTTTACTGCTTTTTCATATTTTCTGCTTTGACTTGGATAGTAGCCTCCTCAATGTTCAACTGCTGGCTTTTTACACATTTTTCAGAATTTTCATTCTCTTCATTCATTTTTTATTTCAGAAAATAAAAACGCATTTGATTTTGATTTAATGGATACAATATCATTTTCTCCTTTCACAGGTGAATGTGATGGTTCCTGCTCCCTATTGTCTTCTCGGTAACTGTGATTCTCCCCTCAACTTCTCACCTTTCTCAAGTCAGAAATCTGCCTATAAACTCTTCTTGATCCTTCACATTCTCTCTTCTATGGCCTCCCCCGGACTAATTAACGAGTATTTCTGGATCTGCTTCCACAATGAAAGTCACAACCCTCCATATTGAACCATCTCGACTTTCCACCCTTCCCTGAGCGCCATGTCTTGCCCATCCTGGGTACTGGCCTTCCTGCCACCCTTCTCGCTCCTCTTGCCAACACCCTGATAACCTTCTGTGTATCCACTTAGTCCGTTTTGCTACAGCTGACCTGAGCCTTGGAAGAATGTTTTGTGATCTTCCTGGAACATGAAGGCATGAAGGATGCCATTTTCCTCCTCCTCTTTCAGGGAGGGTACATTGAGTTTGTCATTACCTCCCGGGTTCTGCTGAATTAGGAGACTGCACCTCAAGTCCCTTTAGGCCAGGGCATAGCTACCATACTTAGATGCAACATGAAGTTGGCATCTCTGGGACAGGGGGCCCTACCCCTACTGTGTGGCATTATGTCATCTGGCCCCTTTTGTGCTACTGTGGGACAAGACATACGGGGAGGCAGAACCTTTATATTTGTCGTCTATGTGAATATAGTTGACCCTTCATATTCAAGGGTTCCATGTACTTGGATTCAGCCAAACATAGATGGAAAATACTTAGAAAGAAAGCTGCACTTATACTTTCTTGTCATTCTCTAAACAATACAGTCTGCAGCACTTACAGTGTATTAGGTATTGTAAGTAAAGTTGAGATGATTTAAAGTGTACGCGAGGATATGTCTAGGTTATAAGCTAATATTATGCCATTTTATATTGGGGACTTGGGCATCAGTGGATTTGGGTATCCACGGGAGGTCTTGGAATGAACCCGCCATGGACACCTGTCATCTGGAGGCATGACAGTAATGCCTGATTCTAAGAAGGCTTATTTCTTGACTGGCTGAATCTGTCAGCCTCATGCGACATTTTCTATTCAGGCCTTTGGTGTCAGCCTGCATTGCCATTCCCCTGAATTTTTGTGAGGAGACCCATTGTTCATTCTCTCATCCTTAGGTCTGAGCTTAAAAGTCACTTCTCTAAAATATCTCCACCCTTACACCCTGGCTGATCTTGGTAATCTCTCTAACAGTGTCTAGGATCACTAATGGAATGCAGAATGATAGTGATTAGTGATCTAGGAGTGTTTACTATACTTTTGGGTGGTGGAAGAAAGTAATAAGTTCAGATAATTCAATTTGGGCAGATAAATGAGCTCACATAATTAGCAGACTAGTAGAAAAACCTGTAGGTACCCTAGGTGAGGGATCTAGGGTGCCACTAGGCGAGGCATCTAGGGTGCCACTAGGCCACCCTAATTTTATTTCATTTGCTATCACCAAATCTCTTAGAAATAGATTCCACTGTTTTTCTTTTAATGTTTGTTATCCATGCAATTCATTCTCTGATTCCACTCACCTCAGAGTAGAAAAATGATGTTATGTTATTATTTTTCTATATACAAGCCTTATCAAGAAAATCTTTTTTAAGAATACATGGTGATTTTTCTTAAACTTTTTAAAATAGGTTTTGAAAGTATGCATAGATTGTTTTCATTGGTTTCTTTCTGTAACACATCTTACTATTTGCAGTGGTCACGGGTTAGTCCATGGATGTTTGCATTAAAATATAGTCAGACCTTTGTAAAATCTTAAATCAAAACTTCACGTGTGTTTGAATGTTTCTCATACAAATCTGCAGGATTCTCAGTCTGTTAGGCAAAAAGTATAGAAACCACAGCCAAGGTTTGGGTCACTGATTTAATAAACAAAGTCTTTCACAGGTAATTTTTTCTTAATTTGTCTTAGCACACATTATTCACAAAACAGTAAATCGTTAATGCAAGAGAATTAGATAAAACCAAAGAAGTACAAATGTCCAATTTCAAAAATTGCACACAGTTAAAATAATTTTTCCCTCTTTGTTTTAATGCAGTATTCAATTTCAAAATGGGCTTTTCTTCAATGTAGAGGAAACACTGCAGCCCAAAATAACAGTACTTCCTTTCTCTGTACTGATATGTAAAATAGCACCTTTGGGCTGATCGGAGGAAAGAAAAAAGGTTTTCATCTTTCTTAATTAACGTATTATATAACAACTATAATGATGACGATGATAACTTTTAAAAGCTCTACTTTGTTCTAAAATACTCATTTTCAAGGCAAGGAAAGGTAAACTAGGTGGGACAGATGGAATAATAATGTTCCCACTTCAGAGACAAGACCCTTATCATTTCTCTTAATGATGTCATTGCTCTAATGAGCTAACTTTTCCACCAAGGAATAGATGTTTTAAAGGCGACCTGCCCAATGACCTTTTGTAAAACGAGGTAAAATACACCTATGAGGCCATCTCTATGGGACTTAGTTAAGAGCAGCTCAGTGGGCAGTTGAATGCTGGGGCATCCCAAAGACTTCACTGTATACAGGTATCTCTTCCTTCACTGTGTGTATTGCTGTGTCCCAGGCTGTTGGGATCACTTGTTTTTCATTCTTGTTTTGTTGTTTACATAAGCTTAATTGCCCTTTGGGCTCAAAGTGGAATTTCATTCTTTTAACCTCTAATCCAATGCAATAAAACAGATAGTTCTTTAGTTAAAAAATTAATAGCATTAACACCTGTGGTTTATGGTATTGATAGTATCACAGATTCATGATTATTATTAAGAAGCCAAAGTTTTGAACCGAACTGTAAGTTCATTCTTCCATTTTCATCCTTTTGTTTTAATTCCACTTTTATTTCTTACATGAGCAGGTAAACATGTCTCAAAATATTGCCCTTCCGTAGAGCAGTTTTGCTTTGGAGGGGTACGCATCTATCCAGTCCACAAAAAGCACTATCTCAAAGCTGAATCTATTCATTGTTTGAAAAGGCAAATACTCCATTGCCACACAGATGTAAAAAGAAAATAATCAACATTGGGTTTTAAATGCATGTAGTTATTTGATGTTTGAATCATAAACATCCATCATGGGGAAGCTTTTTAAAGACTGAAATTTAGAATTTCAGGGTTTAAAAGGTCAGAAGAACAGCAAGATAAAATGTTGACTTTTAACCTACCAGGGAGCTGTATTATTTTTTTCATTGCAATAACATCAAAGCCCACTAATGTTAATTTGGAAAACTTAATGTAGTTTTAAAACCCCATGCCATCTTTTGTCTTTAATATAGTAATGCCTATCTTTGCTTTCCATTTTAGAAATGTTTTCTTAGTGTTAAGTGTAGCTCTTAATAAATGAGGCTTTATTTTAGCCAATCATCTCCAGCTGTGACCTAAGCTCTGCACTTACCTATCTTGCTTAGCTTTGTATAGAATTGAAATGGTATTTTCCACAGTAATTAAGGTAAATCATCCCTTTTACTTCCAGAGCAAACAAAAGAGAAATTGCCATTTCTTTGCTGGCAAATTTTGGGGGGCAGATCCCCCCCCCGAGGAATATTTGTAAACAGCACATTGCCCATTGCTAAACCACAGGGAAAATGGAGTAATAAAAAGCTTAGAAAAATTAACAGGAAAATGGTGGCAAGGTTAATCTCTTGGGTGTGGTGTCATGTTTAAATCACTCAAAGCTTTATTATCCATAAATGTTATCTGAAATCTTTAAAACAGAAATTTAAAAGGAATTTACTACAAAGTATGATTTGTTTAAGGTTCATACATTTTTTTTAAACACCATGTCTGTCTTTGTACAGAATTTTTGGTTCAGTTTAGTTACCTCAGCCTTGTTTTCTTTATGCTTTCAACAAGTTTTAAGAAAGATGAGCTTTAAACCTTTTGTTTCCTGAATGAATACCTTAACATTTTTCTTGCGTATATACATGAATACACACACACACACACACACACACACACAATTTGACATTGTTTACCTTTTCTTTATTTCTGGGATTGGGAATATTTGAACTCATGGTCAGCCACTACTAATATACCATCTTTCTCTTCATTAAAGGTTATTTGTTTTCCTTTTTCCTATGATAATCTGTGAAGAGCAAGCACACTGATAATTACAAAGTGCATCGATGTGGTACCCAGATTTGTGCAACACAGTACCCATGCTTTGGTTCTTACGGCCATCGCTGCCTTCTCACACTACTAAATACAACAGCTCACAAAAAGAAGTCACCTGTTTTATGAGGACATCTTTCTTTGACAGGCTACTAGGTCTGTCCTCATTAATCTAGTTCACTGCGAGATCATTCACACTTTAGTTTTACATGAATATGCAAGGAACACAATGACCATTTGTCAAACCTAAACGATTAACACAGAATTTGTTGAATATTTTTGCTTCCCAACTGAACAAGAGAAATATTGTCAGCTCCTTAAAATGTGTAGATTCTTGGTCATAAAATACTTAGCTATTAAGTTGACCACTCATGTAGATTAAAAAAAAAAACTTATGCATTTTTTAATAACAAAATACTTAATTTTTATTTCCCTATCATAATGCTTCATAGTAGCAAACAAGTTAATTTCACAACTTTGCTACAGGCCGATTGCTTTATCTTTCTATGCTTAACCCTTTAGAGAAATCCCTTTAAAGAAACATGAACTACATCTAACTTCAAACCAGGACACTTAAGATGATTTAGTGCTTTGTAAAATCATAACTTTTGTGGGGCTTTAAATAAGCTGCTGTTTAAATATATGCAGCTCTTAAATGAAGCAAAGGCTTAGTCTCTAATTTGGGGACTGTGCTATCCAATAAAATTAATTCAAATGGAGGCATGGAGTAAAATACACATTGAATTTGGGATATTGAAAACTTGGTTCAAAAAAAAAAAGATGTAAACTACCTATCTTAATAATTTTTTATATTGATGACATGTTGAAATAAATTATATATAGTGTTAAATAAACAATATCAAAATTAATTTCACCTTTCATTTTTGCTTTTCTAATGGGGCTACCAGGAAATTAAAAATTTACATATGTGGCCCACATTTGTGGCTCAGGTTGTGTATCTGTGGGACTGCACTATGGAAAGGGGCCAGATGGAAACAGAGGACCTGATAGCTGATTTCTGTGGGTAGTTACCAGAGCTACTTCACCCCAAAAGTTCTCTGAACATCTTTCGTTCATGATTCAAATAATCCCAAGTATTAATGTCTTCAAACGTGTATTGCATATGTTTTAGAGACATGCATCTGTCAAAATAACCGGACTCCACTGTAGCCATAAAAATCGGTTAGCTGTCCGAGTATATCAAAATATGCAGCCTCCAACTTTGCTTCCCATGTGACTTAAAGATAATGCAGACAATTTCAGGCTTAAAACCAAATATGTTTGTTATTTCCAGATGAGATAGGTAACATTACAAGGCCCTAGAAGAAAAACACATTGTAATTCAAGTCTGTAATCTTGAACTTCTCCCCTGCTACCGTGAAGAGTATCACAGGTCCAGTTAATTTTTACCATCGCCTAAAAGCCATCGCTCCAGTGGTCCTTAACTGTCACACTTCCATATCGCACGTTAGGCTGTACTTCATAGGATCCTGGCGTGTTCTCCTTTCCTTTTTGAGCAAAGTGAGGGAAAAATGCTTCAGGAGGAGAAAGGAGGAGCTAAAGGAAGTGAATAATTCAAGATCACTTCTGTCATGTGTAGTGGCTGAGGGCAAGAAAGATGAAACTCCCAGCTGGTTCCATCAGACTGATACAACTTCAGGGGGGCCGCCCTCCGCAGATGGCAGTGAACTTGGACCTGTTTGTGATACAGGCACTACCACGGCGTCCTTGATGTCTGTGTTCACGTTGCACGAGAAGTTCTTCTCCAGTTTTTTGGCAGTGTCTGGGCAATTTTGTACAAATATCACACGGTTGTAGGCCTTCAACCTGCGCCACAACTGAACGTAGACTTTGCACTGTACGTACATGAAGACGAGACCTCCTGTGAAGCCAATGGCCACCACAACCAGTTTTGTCCAAAATGGCCATTCAAGGACACCTTTGAAATAAAAAGGGGAGAATGTTAGAAAGTTATTGGTGGATTTGCTCATTTTTTTCCTACGGCCCCTTAAGCATACCTGCCTGCTAAGTTATATTGATAAGGAATATATTGCTAATAATGAGTACAAGTTTTAACCAGAATCGGCTTAATGCCCTTCAAATATTCTAAATGTATTGTTAAAATTGTACATGAGTAAATTTTCTCCCCGGCCACTGTAATGATCTCATCTCTCCTACGGTCAAGAACATTCTGTAAGTATCACAGTCTACTACGTTAGACTTTGGCATTCAGAAACTCTAACATTTATCCCAAACAGCTAAGTCTTTAAGGAAGGATGGTGAACCCACTGAGTGTGAGAATCAGAATTTAAAATTCTTTTCAGAAGATGAAATCGTGGGTACATGTATGGGCTGTTACATTTAGGTCTTCCTCTTCACCCTCATTCCTTTTTGAAATTAAGAAAAGGATGAAAGAGAGAAGGAAGGAGTGAAGAAAGACGGAGAAAAGGGAGGAAGGGAAAGGGAAAGGAAAAGAAGCAGCTGCGAGACTCACCAGAGACACAGAATTCCTGAGCAGGGACGTGCAAAAGATTGAGGATTTTAGTCATTTGTTTCATAAATCATATTGGTGACTGAGAACCATCAGTTTCTTAGACACCTATGTTTTCCTTAATTTCCATCACCATTATTAATCATAGGCTTTTTTTTAATTTTATTTTTTTGGAGACAGAGTCTCACTATGCTGCCCATGGTAGAGTGCTGTGGCGTCACAGCTCACAGCAACCTTAAATTCTTGCTTGGCTTAAGTGATTGTCTTGCCTCAGCCTCCGAAGTGGCTGGGACCACAAGCGCCCCCCACAACTCCTGGCTATTTTTTTTGTTGTCATTGTTGCTTAGCAGGCCCCAGCCGGGTTCCAACCCCCCAGCCTTGTGCATGTGGCTGGTGCCCTCACCATAGAGTGATGGGCACTGAGCCAGTAACAGGCTTTTGTTTGCAAAGAAACAATTCTAAAAATTATTTCACAGGAGTTTCTGTAACTCTAACAGTGAGTATTTAGACTACACGTTATTATGAGTGTTAGATAAGTGATGGTCAAAAGTCCATCCAACTCACACCAGGATGGTGTCAGGGAATTAATCTTCATCTATGTGAGAAGTTGTCAAGTAAAAGAGTATGGCTCAGTCTGGGGCAGCAGGAAAGACTAGCAGAAATGCATAGAAACCACAGTCAGTGAGAGTTATTGATTCTACTTTGGGTTTTTATTTACTTGTAACAGTAAATAAGAGATTTAAGAAATATCCCGTCTGTATCTTGTGGTAATAGCATGACCGTATGCCTTGTTTCTATCATGATGAAGGACTTTGTACCCTCAAATTAACCCACAATATTGGGGTCACCCTGTCAATTTTTAGCCCCCAAATAATAAAACCTCGAGCATTTCTTCTATCCCCAGACTCCCAGAAAGCATAATTTTATTCTTGACTTTTACATAACTTACATTATGTCAAACCTTTCTGAGTATGACGATCCTCTGATAAAATTTTAGTTTTTTCCACCATGAACAAACTAAGGAACACCTCATAATTATGGCTACTTCCTTTATGTTTTACTTCAAATACCTACTATGTCTTTTATTTGGTAAGCCAGTCTTTCTGAAGTCTGGCAAGTAAACTTTTCTCTCTTTTTAAAATATTTTGACTTTGACTCTTTGAAATATAGAGGAAAAATGCTCTCTGATCATAAAGGAATAGTGAGAAGTCCAGAAAGCCTCTCACGTTGCTGCCATGGTGGCGTGCACTTGCGGCTCTGTGTGGCGTGCGCTTGTAGCCCTGCTGCGGAGGGCACTTGCTGCTCTGTTTGGCACTGTCAGTCTCAGATGAATCCTGTGCTTCCCTCAGTCATCAAATCTAAAATTTGCTTTTGTCGTGGGTAAATATATGCAGGAATTCTCATTCGTTGCTGGTGGGAAAACCAAAATGGTACAGCCACTTTGAAAGACAGTCTGATAGTTTCTTACGAAGGTAACCACAGGCTTATCAAATGATACAGCAATGCATTTCTAGGTGTTTACTCAAATGATTAAACATGTATGTCCACAGAAAAACCTGCACATGAATATTTATAGCAGCTTTATTCACAATTGGCCCAAATTGGAACATCCAAGGTGTCCTTTAAGAGGTGGATGAACTCTGGTGCACCCATACAGTGGAGTCCTACTGAGGGGCAAAAAGAAATGAGCCGCCCAGCAACAGAAAGACATAGAGGGACCTTACATGCCTATTTTCAGATGAAAGAAGCCAGTCGGAAAAAGCCATCAGTTGTATGATGCCAACTGTATGACATTCCGGAAAAGGCCAGGCTAGAAACGATAAGACAATCAGTGGTTGCCAACGGGGTGAATAGCTAGCTGACGGGATTTCTCAGGTGGTGTAACTGTTCTGTATGATTTTGTACTGGTGGACCCAGGACACTGTGCACTTGTCAAAACCCACCATGCAACACAAAGAGTGAGCCCTAGTGAGATCTGCGGGCTTTAATACAAAGACCGTGCAAATATTGGCGCAGCCATTGTAAGGGGTGCAGCCCAGTGAGGTAGGATGTCAGTAACAGAGGAAATGATACGGGAGGAAGTAGGTAGTGTAAATGATGACTGGTTCGACTTTCTGTAAACCTAAAACACTCTGGAAAATAAAGGCTATTATTTAAAAAAAAAAAAATTGGGATTAGTTCTGTGAATACAAGTCTGTGCCTAAGTCAGATCATTGAATTTCTTGCAGTAAGAGATGGGTGTGGGAGCACTTCTGTGTTTAGAGATTGGTAATGTACTTAGGGTCTATTTTTGGAAACTTTATTTACCCAAAACACCCACTTCTTTTCAACCATGTCCAAGGAAATTCATTGTGTCTTAAAACTTGCTGTAGTCCTGCACAATAAAGGTTCAGGAACCTCATTTACCTATGGTTATGCTCAGCACCCCGATTCTCTCATCCGATGCCTTTTTAAAGTAAACTTTGATCAAAGTCCTACCTGTGTAGGCATATTCCAAACAGCCCACACCCCAGTGCAGGTCTGAGCTGGCATGTGCTGTATCCTCTGCTAAAGCACCCACGTTTGTCACTGCATACTCACCCCCAGGAGAGGAGAGAAGGCTGCAGGCTCTGTCCTGGGCTTGGCAAACACAGCATTCTTGCCTGAATTACTGACAGTGTTCTCCCCTGCCAATCCGTATGATATCTCTGTGGCGCCTAACACCTTAGTCATTCTCCGGAGTTGGCACACGAGACAAAATCTTTTTACCACCTAGTCTCAGAGGAAGAAGATGCTTTTTCAAAATATTGCCAATTGGCTGCATAGTAGACCAGGATCCCGTTAACTAATGAAATGCTGTCATTTGGAATAAAATGAAGTAAATCTGAATGTAATAAAATTAGGAGAAGTACTGAGGTTTGGTGCCTCTCTCTACCTAAGTCACTCCTTTGGAAAATTAATTAGTGTATTATAGAGTTAAGTGCTTTAAAGGAAAAGAGCCAATTATTAATATTTACGGAACAGAAGGGGCTAGTTTTACAAAACAAATTGGCACTGAAATGACTTTAGAAACTTTAGAGCACAAATATGGACTTTATCAGAAATTTATGAAGAATCAGCCTTGATTGGTCACATACAAATGTTTCCATGACCTCTTTCTCTTACAACGTCTTAGATTCTAAAAATAGGGATTTTAGCAATGGAAATAAGCTATCTGGGTTTGCTTTCCTTACACAGATAGATTTGCAAGCAGCTGTGTTCGTGGATAACACTCATGTTATCCAGTGATAACCCTGGTACTCTATCAGGTACTCTAATACCCTGCAGAAACATTTTAATTTAAGGGGGAAAAAGTATATTACAGAGAAATAATTACAGAAAATTATAGCACAAAAATGCTTTGTATTTATTTATAATTTTTCCAAATCACTTATAGACAATAATAAAAAATAATGCCTAAGAATAATAAAAATAATTTTGGCCATTAGTGTACTAGTTTGGCAGCACTAGTTCCTGATGTAAAGATTCCACTGTTTCTTTTTCATCATGAATCATATATTCCATACTGGAAACATATTCTAGGTATTCCTACATATATTTATTTATTTATTTTTGGAACAATTTGTTTTTAAAATTTGTGTGTGGGGGGGTAGATGACAAAAGACTCAATTTCAAGTTTTTTTAAAGAAAATATCAGATAGATACCAAAACCATTGTTTTATTCTTGGTTTTTCATGTGCTCCAGCAAAAGAATTGAACTAAATATTCAGAGCCTGAAGACCTTTAGAGACCATGTGTTTCTTTTTATTATTATTATTATTGTTGGGGATTCATTGAGGGTACAGAGAACCAGGTTACACTGATTGCATTTGTTAGGTAAAGTCCCTCTTATAATTGTGTCCTGCCCCCAAAAGGTGTGTCACACACCATGACCCCCACCCCCTCCCTCTTTCCCTCTCTCTAATCTCCCCTTCCTCCACCCCCACCATGCACTAGGTCATCAACTGTCGTCATGTAAGAATTGAGAACATGGGATTCTTGCTTCTCCATTCTTGTGATACTTTACTAAGAATAATGTATTCCACTTCCATCCAGGTTAATACAAAGGCTGTAAAGTCTCCATCTTTTTTACTGGCTGAATAGTATTCCATGGTATATCTATACCACAGCTTGTTAATCCATTCCTGGGTTGGGGTGCATTTAGCCTGTTTCCACATTTTGGCGATTATAAATTGAGCTGCAATAAGCAGTCTAGCGAAAGTGTCCTTATGGTAAAAGGATTTTTTTTCTTCTGGGTAGATGCCCAGTAACGGGATTGCAGGATGAAATGGGAAGTCTAGCTTGAGTTCTTTGAGGGTTCTCCATACTTCCTTCCAAAAAGGTTGTATTAGTTTGCAGTCCCACTAGCAGTGTAAAAGTGTTCCCTTCTCTCCATATCCACGCCAGCATCTGTAATTTTGAGATTTTGT